AGCCATTTCGTGGTCAGTTTAATCTGATTGCAATCAGTTTCCTGTTTCTGTCTGCTGTTACTCACATGGTTTCATAACTACCTGTCAGAGTGACACCCAGCAGCGTCCCAAACATCAGGACACTTTGACTGCTCCATGATGGGAAGAGAACCTTCTGGATGCTGCAAAACCTCTGGATAAACCTCCAGTCTAATTGTGGCCTGAATTATTAAGAAGAAAATGAGAAATGACTGGACTGGTTTACATCTCCATCTTGCAAATGTGGCTCTATTGTTTACCTATTTGTCCCTCTTGCTTTGGACTTTTCCAGAAGAGGCATTTGAACCAGTGGCTGGGAAATAATTCCCTTGAAAATCACTTGTCACATATGTTTTTTGTTGTTTCAAAGCTCAGGCTAACCTGAAAGTAACTAGGGCTCCATGGTATCTTAAAAAAACAAAAGATTTGCAACATTCGGACGCAATGACAGCAGCTAGAAAGAAAACAACGAACACATTTATGGACAAAAAATCTCAAATCGCGCCCCTAAATATTTCCTTAACGCTATGTAGCCAGTTTAGAGGGGAGTTTAACTTATCCCGATTGAGTCCGTGCTGCTACTCCAATGTCAACCCTCCGCTTCTGCCGAAAGCAGATGTTTTGTTCGGCGGCTGTCAATCACTTACTTCCGGGTTGAAGTCTTCCGCTTCATCCTTTCAAAATAAAAGTGTGAAAAATTCGTGTGATCGTGTGATCTTCTCCCGCCCAGGGGCGCTGTCATGAAAGACAGTGATATTGCCACCCCGTCCAAAAAAAAAAAAAAAAAAAAAAGAATTTACACAAGCTATAAAACTGCTATAAACACTAGATTATTTATCCCTCTGTCTCCCCAATCCATGACAGGTGCAACATTTCTGAAGTTAAACTATCTCATGCTTTTTGGTGTCGTCCTTCTTTAACGGGTCTCTGGCAGGGGTGGAGCTAGATGGGGGGCCAGGGGAGGCATTTTTTCCCCCTCTAATACAGATGGTGTCAGCAGTAATACTCTCAAGTGGAATATTCAAAACATTTAAATTTTTGTGGTTAATTATACACATCAATATACTAAGATCGAAGATGATAAGTACAGAATTCATGCTCTTTTCAGAACTAGATTTTGTTATATGGGGTAAAGAGAAAATTATAGGTCTCTGCAAGTCATCTAGGAGTCTTCAGTAAAATCATAGATAAATAACAATTTTAATAAAAACTTATCAAATAATCAATTTATGTAGATATTATTGCTTGGAAATATAAAATTTATGCAGAATATTTATTGATACAAGGAGGTAAGTAATGACTATGGAAAAGATTTACACCCCAGAACTACAAAACTGAAAGAATTTTGTCCACTATGCCTTTTATTTAGAAAGCACGGATGTTTAAATATTTATTTGTTAGCAAAGGCTGTAAGAGTAGTAGTTTGTCTTTATTTAGAAAATATGCAAGTTTTGCTCTTTAATTTTCCTGTTGGAACAGTGTAGTTGACCCTGAGGTTCTGGTGCCTTGCCGCTTTCGGCCACCCTTATAAATTTTTCTGGCTACACCTCTGGTCTCTGGTCTGAAGTGTTTGATTGATATTCCAAGGCATACAAGACTCCCATCAGCCTGAACCAGAACTTTGAATTTTTGGATGTCCACGGATACAGGGGACTATACCCGCTACAATGCTGCAATCATTAGAACTGGGATTGATTGTTGCCAAGAGGCTAATCCTGAAGTCATCGGTTCCCCCTTCATTTTGCCTTTGGGTGATGGACATGATGTCCATAATTCAGATGTAAAGATTTCATAAAGGATCTAATAAAAACGTTTTTCATTATACTGGAATCCCTTCCTGGAACACTTTTCACAGACTAAACTAAGCTGAACAAACTTTTCCATGGACTCTCTCCTCAGTCGCCACTTAATGGGTGTATATATTCTCATGTATGTGACTATGTGTACTTTGTTATGTGTGTACACCAATCGTTGACTGTATGACGTGTGGATCTAGATTCTATCTGTTCTTTCTGTTTGTTTATCAGTATCTTCGGAACCTTGAAAATTTAAAATAAAATTTATATATATAAAAAAAAAAAAAAACTGCTATAAAGATTCACTGGAGATTATAATTTACATTGTCAATATAATTGACAGACACGCCGATGAGAGATTGGACATCTGATGCGATGCAAGACCTGAGGCCCAAACAATTTCTTGCAATTTCATGGGAAGGAGACTGGCAATATATTCATGCTTTATTTTTTTATTGAAAAATATAGTGGGACGAATCTTCTCTTCTTTGGGGCCCCCCTCAGTCAAGGGCCCTTAGCGGGGTACACCCTGGACAAGCGGACAGTCTGTCACCGAGACATACAGCCATGCATACTCACTCACACCTAAGGACAATTTGGGAAGCCGATTAACCTATCAGTCATGTTTTTGGACTGTGGAAGGAGTACCCAGAGGGAACCCACGCATACACGGGGAGAACATGCAAACTCCATGCAGAAAGACCCCAAGCTGGGAATGGAACCCAGAACCTTTTTACTGAATACAACCGTGCCTCAAACTACACCCTGCCCCACCGTGCATAACAATTGCTATAAACATAGGCTCCATGCACAACTCCACTACTTCCTTAACTTAAGGAGGTTCTTTTGGTTCCTTTTTTCATTACTGGATGAACTGATTAATCCAGATGTGTCTGATCATGGTTACTGAGGTCAGGCACACCTGGATTTATCATTTCATCCAGGAGAAAAAGAGAGGAAACAAAATAACTGCCTTAAGTTCAGGAAGTGGTGGAGTTATGTGTATAGCTTGGCAATAAAAAAAATACCATTAAACAATTATCTACAACAGAATTTTAGAAAATGTATTTTAAATCTTAATACTTGATGAATCAGTCAGATTTGTATAATTATCTCTTATTTTTATATTTATTGCAATGCCTGTAGATATTAACAAATTTAGGTGAAGACTATTTCCAGACTTCACGATAAAGAGAAACAATTATAAAGTTTACCAGTAGTAGTAAAAAAAGGCTTCTGTATATTTTTTAAGGAACAAGAATAAAGTGTTTACGCAAATGTGATGTAAAATATGAAGTAAGCTCTTATATAAATACCTCAAACATATTTCTAGGATTGTTTTCTCTTCAAAAAATATCCAGTATTTCTAACATTTTCTTGTCTGAGTTCATGCTACTGCTTTATATTATTATTCTAGAGCACAATATAGCTGCTAACAAACAGTTTACCTTTAAAATCAGACAGAAAACACAAAGTGGCTAAAGCAGTTTTTGAAAAAAAATCCCATAGCTGTTGAAGCGTTATTTTAAAAAACAAAACAGAGTTTGAGTAAAAGTTTTATATTTAATCACTCTATTTGTCCAAGCCAACCATGTCTGACATTAAAATAAACAATTAGTTGAAGAAAAAAGGGTGGGCTAATACTTTTTTTTCATTACTGTAGTGTAGTTTGGCCTAAATTAAGAACAGACATGAACAAAAATGACAGAACGGCACAAACTCAAAGTTTATTTTGTGTTCATATGTTATTAATGTGCACTGCTCTGACATAAACAAAACGATAAGAGAGCTGATTATGTAAAATCGCTATATAGGGAAATTATTATACGGCTTTAACCTATTTGTAGAACAGAACAACAAATTACAAACAGTTACATCAATGGCAAAAGTTGTAATTAAAACTTTTCACATATTGCAAGTATACAAAGGTCAGCTGAAATGCTTTTGGAAACCAGTACAATAAATAAGATACATTTTTTACAGATTATTTGTTTCTAGAGCTAAAATCTGGGTAATTTATCAAAAATATGTTTTCTTGACATTTCTTCAAATTATTATTTCTGAGTGTAATTATAATTAGGATCAATTATGATGAAGAGAATAATACAAAAAAACAGGTGACTGCACAAAAAAGTTGATTAGTCAAAACTTCCCTGATGCGTGAGCAGTTCAATACTTTAAAAGTTCAGCTGGAAAAATGCAACGAATGAGATCTGCAGTGATCAAAATTATCTTGAAAATGTGAAAATGGGTCATATGTTCTTCTGTGCTAAACTTAAAACCATTACAGTACATCTGACACATATTGTATCTGCAAAGGTCCATTTGAGACCTAAACGTCTTGACCACAGGTAGAACTTTAAAGGACAACATCGGTAAAGTTTTTCTTAATATTATATTTAATGCTGCAAAAGACAGAGGCTAAAATTGTTATTAGTGATAGTTTAAGGTTTGTTTGTTTTTTTCCTTCAGATATTTAAAGTGTTGTTAATACTGTATTTTTTTTTTATTATAGCAAAAACAAATTTGCTGCCATGAAAGGCCATTTTTAAACTTTTCATTAAAATGGAAAATTGTCAGTTGTTAGTCAATAAATATAAGTATATATATATATATATATATATATATATATATATATATATATATATATATATATATATATATATATATATATATATATATATATATATATATATATATATATATAAATATATATAAAGTATATCACGAGTAGAGATGCAGCAATTGGCCCCAAGATTAGAATCATCTAATTTTCCTTCAAACAATTTTTTCCATTCATTTCCTGAATGAGAACTCCCACCTGATTGTAAATACATAAAAAATATAAATCAGATAATATTAGGGAATATATACGTTGATTTTATTAGTTTAATGTTTATTTTATATCTCTAAATTGCATGTTGTTTTAAAAAAAAAACTTAAAAAAAATGTGATCAGTCAACTTTTAGTAGTTGAAGGGAAATAATTATTAGTTAGGAAAAGCCAGATTGGTACAGATATATTAATGCAAATTTTTTATCTAAAGACATCCATAACTTTTCCCCTTTTAATTAAAGATTAATCATTCTTACTGAAAAGAAAGATTGGTGCTTTAATGGGCCACATACACATTAATATAGATTCTTGAGATTAGGTTATTGTTGGGGTTTAATAACTTCTTTCCTGGATATTCTTTGGCTGCGATAATACTTACTATAATTAATTACTTTAGTGGTTGTCTGATTGGATTTTGAGACCCAAATATAATCTGATGTATCTTTCAACTCTGCTTGTTGCTCAGAAACAACCTGTCAAAACAGGCAGTATGAATCTATTAAAAAGGCCAAACAGTTTTCAGTAAATATTCAGTCAAGGTGTAAGATCCAGAAGAGGACAGGCACAAAGCAGACACAACTAAACCCAACGACACTGTAGACCATATAACGGTAAGGAAGCTCTACTTTCATCTGTTGTCTCGCCCGCCTCACGTCATCCGACGGCAGTCCGAAAAGTCGGCACAAGAACGGGATAGTCACTGCTTTCATGACCATTCTTGTGGCGAGCAGGACGGCGATTCCAATGACGAAGCGCAGCACCGAGCGCAACAGCAGGCCTGAAGTGATTGGTGGTAGAGTTAGAGGCAGAGAGGACAGCGGTGGATCCTGCAGCAGCCCAAGCTGATAGTTCACATGTGAAGCCAGAGCTGCTCCGGCCCCCGTGCCAAGAGCCTGAGCGGTGTCGCCACGAGACGTGCTCCATGAATCCAGAGAGAAAGCTACGAGTCCCAGGCTCACGTGTGACACGATGATGACGAGAGGAGCATAGCGGTCCATCATGTAGTAGGTGTCAATCTTATCTAAGGTTGGCTGGAAGAAGGCGAGGACCAGAAGGCTGTACAGGAAGCCGCTGATTACTTCCTGCAAAACAAAAAAATAGAACTCATAAAAAATGAAAAGCTGTTTCTGAGCATCAAGCATCATGTTTCAAAGCCTGCAGAAAAATATATATACATATGTATATATATAAATAAGCACTTATGCTTTCTGCCCTAAAGGAGGCGCCATGCCTCCATGGTTCTGTCAGCATAAGTTGGAAAAGCTCTGAAAAAAAAAATTAATATCAGGTGATCCTCTGACTGTTAAACCGGTTTTACTATTGGTTGATACAGATTATAGCCATTATCTCTACTAATCAGCTGCAGGGTCACAGGCGGTCAGGTCATACCATCATCTACAGCCTGTCAAATGTTTATGGTCCACTTCTAGCTACGGGAACATTTCCAAGAAAATATGGCATTATCATCAATCCGCGCATTACTCACAGGGTTACAATATGAACAGAACTAATAATGAAACAGTTTGTCTTTATATCACTGATTATGATACAGAAATATTTGAAAGTAAAGAACAGATTTTCCTTTTCTCTTTGTCATGAAGATTGTTCAGTTAACCTAAAAAAACAAACTTGAAAGAAAGGTGTTTGTTGTCAATAGAGAATTAAACAATCCTTCAGTCAACAGCGGCGTGTCAGCCCAGAGGAACCGGTTTAAACTTATTAAACTCTCTCAGTTAAAAGAAAAACAAACTAACCAAAAAGCATGTTAACAAAAACTTTTTTAATAAAATCAATACTTCATTTTCCTCCCTTATAAAGACTTTTATCTATGATTTAAATATGTTGGCACATAAAAACCCATGTCATTAGCTAAAAGTTAAAAGATATTTACAAGTCTAATTATGGAGATATTTCTTGCTAAAGAAAATTCTCGGTTACAAAAAAGTTATTTTTATTTAAACAGATTCTTGGCTGTCAGGTAATATACGCTAAATCAAAACAAAAAACGATTTAAACTAAATGTGCGATCAGTTCTGTTAAATATTTTCATGACGCATCATTTTGTTCGCTCTCGTCTGTTTTCCATCTGCACAATGTCACTACCACTCTATTAGCATTAGCATCTCAGTCACTGAAATCTATATCAGGCTTGGGTATTAAGAGCAGTGAAAGCCCATTAAACGAGACAAACACATTACTGACAGCCAGAGCGGGATCACAGCCTTCCAAATATCACATCTAAGCAGTCATATGCAGTTAAATCACATTTATATGCCCACAGGGGCTGTTGATCTGATATAATGTGCCGATCCTAAAGCAAAGAGAAAAACTAGAACTCTGTGTGAGGTTCCTGCTTCCTCACAGCTTGAGATAATCATAATACTGAGCTGTAAGTACAGCTTTCCTTAAAAGCAGGTCAAACGACTACCAGAACAGTAACCTCCACAACAGAAAAAGCTCCTAAAAAGGTTGTAGAAATAAAACATAGGAGTAATGGTTGATTTTTGTATTTTCTTTCTATTTCTGAAGGTTTTTTTTATACAAAGGTAACCACTGTCATTCCAATGTTTCTATCCAGTGAGAAACACTAACCTGCATGCACAACTAAGGGTGTAAATCACACCCATCATGGTGATTCAATTCAGTATAAATTTCCTGATTCGATTGTTTTCGATACTTAAGAATACACCACAATATGATTCAATTTGATTTATTGTTTTTTTTTTTTTACCTTACAGGCTAAACAAGGTTGCAAATTTGAAATAAATCAATGAAAGCTGTAATATCGTTATGCATTGTATTTGAGAAACAACAGCAAATAACAGAGGTAGTAAAGTTGTACTCCACCTAGGCCTATTAAAACCTCATTCACTGAAAAATAATAATGCCTCTGCGTTATAGATTCTCAAAGGCCTTGTATCAAAAAAACTACAAGAGGAAAGAGTGTAATGGGTAAATGAAGTGAGGTAGGAGGGCAAAACAGCTTTAGCGCCACCATAGCAAGGGAGTCAGAATTACGTCCAGGAGCAAATGGATAAAAATAGGCTGGAGGGGGAAAAAATATGAATCGGTACTCTTGCGGACGTGTTGATGCATCGGATCGTTGGCTGTGGGATCGATGCATCGATACAAAACGACTATTATTTACACCCCTATGCACAACCTTCCCTGATGCTGAAGGTATATCAGCAGACAGCAAGGTACTGTGCATGCATGCCAATCTGATGTCATCATAAACCAAGCTTAGGTAGAGGTCAAATTTCTCAACTTCTCTAAGAATATGATGCATCTAAAGTCAAATCAATGAGCTGAGGTGGGTCATCCGTGAGAGCTGAAGCAGATCCACATCTTCCATCTTATAAAGTTATGAAACTGATATGATTCTATCATTTACAACCACCTAAGGAGCAAGTTAAGTTGTGCAAGCAGATATTCACACCTGAAAGTTATCAGTTAACTTGGAAGCAGGTGATATGAGACGCCGGAGGTGTCGGGATTCAATTTCATTTGAATTCAATTATTCATGGTGCTTACCAGAACAGAGTGCATGCCCATGTAGACCCGGCTCACGCAGACCAGCACACTCCAGCTGAGGGCCAGGCAGAAGCCAAAAAGGAAAGGGTACTGGAGGAGAGAGCATGGGGGTTAAAACAGCTGATTCTTGAATAGGCAATCCCATAGAAATTAAAATATTTATTACAGCAAATATTTATTACAGTATTATATCTATTACAGTGTTATTACAATATTACATATTGAGCTTTTTTTTGGACGAATCCTAGCAGAAAAACTGAAGGGCAGCACCAACAATAGGAGGAACCCAGAACAGCAGCTATGCTAATGCAACAAAATTTAATTTATTGCTATTCGCTTATCTGTCTGTCCTTGGGAGGAACTTTTAAATAAAACTCTTGGTGATGCAAAACTCTGGATATTTGTTGAATTCCTGTCATTTTAGAAACTATAGAAAAGGTCACTGAGAGAAAGGGGAGGTAAGACTGGTTTCATTCTGCAGCACATTCATCCAAATGAGCAACATCAGCATTCGAACTTTAAAAGGAGCAAAAGTCATTGCTTGTTTATAAAAGCTTGGCAAAAATTAGGTGGTGTTTCGCATTAAGTTAACCTTTAGAAGCCCACAAAAAACATAGGAAATCCTTTGAAGAAAATTTAAAAGACCCAATAATAATGTAATGTTTATTCTAATTTGTTCCAATTTTGTAAAATTTTTGTTAAAAAAAAAAAAAAATATATATATATATATATATATATATATATATATATATATATATATATATATTTCTTATTTTAAACTATTGGAATGTGTGATCGGTGCCAAACAATGTGTATTTATGGACGTAGACCGACATTATAAATAGAACCTAAAGCTTGTTTCAGTCACATTGATTGTAAAAATATAATATAATCCAATGTTTATAAATTGGAAAATGATGTTAACAACGGTCTGCAACAGGTTGGGTTACTATTGAGGACCTAAAAGTAACTCAAACAGAAAAACAGTCATAAAATTGACATTTAAATCTCATAATTTGAAATCCAATTTGAAAAGCAATTTCTAATTGTAAACTGAATTATTAAAATAGGAATTGTAAATTTTAGTTACTAATCCATTATTAAATATGGGCATCTTAAAATCGAGTTGCTCCTCAGATATAGCCAGCTCTCTCATTGGTTAGACTGCCACACTTGGTTCAAAAAAAAAAAAAAAAAAAACTGAAAAAAAAATGAGAGCTGGAAACATCTGAGGAACATCTGTGATGGTTTTTAGGGACCAGATAGCTCACAGGAAATATAAACGGAGAGGGGAAGTAATAAGTTGGATTTTAAAAAATAAGTTGGAAAAGAAAATGAAAGAAGGAATTACTCTTTTAAATATGATACGAGGAAATATATTCATAATCAGAGTCATTTTTTTTTATCTTAATTTAGAAATAGGATTTGAAAAGACATGTTTTAAATCCCTGTATTTAATAATGGAATAATAATAATACAATAAAAAATTACATTCCTTTTTAATAATTCAATTTAAAATGTGCAATCAGAAAAGGCATTTTAAATTGGATTTCCAATTGCATGATTTAAATGTTAAACATGAAAAGATTGTTTTTCTTTTTTTAGTGACTCTCTAGGTCCTCCATAGGGTTACAAGGTGGATGTATGATTGATGAAAGGGATTCATGGTGACACACGGTTCTGCAACATAAATTTATCACAGAGAGAGAAAGGCTAGGAAAACAAGTTAATTTTTTTTTTCTTGGAAATATATTAGTATAGGAATGCTTTGTCTATACAGAGACTGGCTGGCTATAAAAATAGACTGACTTATTAATACACGAAAAAGAGATGTTTTTATAGGCTTATTCAGAGTTTCAAAGAGGGAGATAAGGAGAAACTGTGTTGTTGAGCTAAGGTTGATTCCTGGTTACTCGCTTAGCTATATTGAATGACCCATTTGAGCCGGTCTTAACAATAAAAAGAGCCGATAACATTTGCTTTATTTGTGGAGGAAACAACATGCAAGTTGTGAACATGGAGGACACCTAATAGCACAGAGAGGGCTCAACCAGCCCACATAACTGCGACATGTCCAGTTCAAAGCATTTTGAACAGATTCCCTGATTTCAGGTGCTGAGCTCTTCCTTCCTGCGGCTGACCTCCTGCTTTGTTTCCCTGCATGTTTTCTGTGTCTACACCAAAAAAAAAGCATAACTTTCCAGCTTGCTTCTCTTCCTCCAAGCTTCCCTCTTAAGTCTCTTCGCCTATCTCCTACAAGAGTGATCTTTACACTTGTCTTGGGGTTTTATCAACACGAGTGCACATGTCAGCAAATAATTTAGCAAGAAACTGCAACAGTAAATAGAAAAACACTTGTCAAATAGTTTATATGTCAGGAAATATACCCACTAAAATGAAGGACCTAAATGTTAGTGGCTGTATTTGCATTCACTTCTAAGCAGCCCATTCAAACCTTTATTTCTATTCACAATGAACATGATAAAAAAAAAGCACTATAAAAACATACTGCTTTTATTTGTTGTGTATAAAAAGGCTTTAAAAAAAGGTTTCCTTTCTCTGAGCGCTTCTATTGTGTTAAAGCTCTATGAAAACCTCAGCTCACATAACTTAACCGGACAGGGTTTTCAATACCAGGAAAATTGCGACATGTTCTCTTCCTCAAAATCCCGTTCCCTCTGTAGAAAAATGAGTTTAAACAATAAGGCTTATTGCATCACTGCCATAAAACCAGTTGGTCAGCTTTTTATATCTATGAGAAGATATCGTTTAATCTTCACCTTTAGCTCCCTCTCCTCAGCTGCTGCTGTTCTATGACTCCACACCAAAGAAATTTCTTATCCTCTGTTGTTTTAATCGGATAACCCTGCCGGGACGCCCTGCAGAGAAATATGCTCCATCCTGCAATATGTTTTTTCTTTATTACACCAGACAGACTATTGAGATTCCTTTGGATTCCTTTTATAACAATTCATTTTATTCAGTTCACACTGTTCCCAAGTTTTCCATTAGAATCTCAGACACTAAAAACCATCTTAATCTGACTAATCAAGGGGATTGGAAATCTATTAAATAAAGCAATAAATATACTAATAAGCTGAATTTACATACAAGGCAATCAAAAATAAACTGAATTGCAATTGTGATGTTTTACTTGTTAATTTGTCTGTAATAACTATGATGAGTGAAAAGAAGAAAGAAGATTTGGGTGTGTAAAAAAAATATAAATAGGCGCACAAACTGAAGAGACATCTACAAGATTTTAATTGTGGAGCTGTTTGCAGCTTTTTAGCATTTAGAAACAACCCTTAACCCTTGTTTAAGTCATGGCTAAGAATCAGTTATAGGAATAAATCTGTTCATTTATTGCAAATATTTCTACAGTGGTCAGATTTTAAACATGGAACCGTAACAAATGAGACTAGATCGATAGATATTATCAATTATAAACCTTAGAAAGTAAGATAAGAAATAAAATCAACTAAGACTTTTTTTCAAAATAGGTGTCAGAAAGTCCTTTTGAAACTTTGTAAGGCTGTAAGGATCTATTTAATAAAAATTTGGGTTAGAGATTAGAGATAAACAATCAGGCTTTTCCTGTAGGTCTGACTTCATGATTCTCAAAAGAATCAAATAGAGAAAAAATAAAATAACAGGTATGAGCTTTAAACATAATAGAAAATGGAAAAAGTACCACGACTATCCCTGTTTATGCATCAGAGCCTTTACCTTATTTCCCCTAAAGTAAAAGTAAAATGCATCAAAGTGCACTTAATAGACCAATTATCATTGTGGCTTTTGTTTTGAAACATTAGATGAATAGAAAAAAAGGGTTGTCCTTTATTTGCCAGAACAATCACCATCAAAGTTGAGCAAGAAGACTGACTTTAGAAATAATGGGACATCTCTGGATAAAAAATTTTATGCATAAAGTGTTATTACTCTAAATAAACATAAAAAAAACAGTCAAGAAAATCAGGAAATGTCAGCGTGAAAAGGGGAACTTATCCCTGACCAGATTAGTCAGCTGATGGTTTTAGGCCAAAAACACATTCAGCATTTTCTGAACCAGGAGCCTTGATGGGCCTTTGCGTGTCTACAGGCTCCCTGATGCGTTTGTGGCATTATCCACCTTCAGCTGTCTCCTTCCCTGGAGCATTTGCTCTCAGCAGTCCCCTCATCCAACGCTGCCTCCTCCTGTGAATGAAACATACAGACCCCTGATAGCAGCATGAACACAGACATACTGACCTGCCACCGTCCATAGGTCAGCATGAAGATACAGAAAGGTATGGCTGTCCCCGTCATGGCATGCGTGGAGGGCATGCTGTACTCGGAGTTGTAGAAGACCTCCACCTTCACCACAGGAGGGGAGGCTGGTCTGGACCAGCGGATCATGTCTTTAGTGGACTGTCCCACGAACAGGTTCCAGGCCCAAACCACGATGAGCCTCCTGCTGACCAGCGCGTCGACATTCCAGAAGAGGAAGGGGAAGAACACAATGAAGAACATCTCGTTGCCGAGCTCCGTCCCGAAGGTGAACAGGTAGAAGAGGAACTTGTTGTGGATCAGGAACTCCTGACCCACATCCCCGGTCAGAGAGTTTCTCCGGAGGGGCTTCGCTCTCACTGTGTCTGCCTCTACTGGACCATCAGGCCCGACGCTGTCCTCCTCCGGCTTCCCGTTAACCTGCGATGCGGCGGCATCTCCGTTCCCCACACCTTCATCCGAGCTCGGCTGGACCCTCTTCCTAAGCCCCGGACCCCCCGAGTCCTGCTGCCCGCTGTCCGGATGTGTCCGCTTCTCCGGAAATGTCCCTTTAACGCCGCAAAAACGTTGAAACCTGGCGACAAGGATGGGCTCCTGGAGATATTTACAAATCTCTATAAACCTATTCACGGCGACTCTTGCCATGACTATAAATACTTGTTATGAGATACACAAAGCCGGGTGTTTTTAGCTGCAATTCATAATCGAAAAAGATAATAACGGTGTTTCATTCCCCTTTAAGAACCCTGAAAGGCTTTGAGCTGGAAGCTCAGACCGGAGCAGAAGACCTCTCTAAGTTTTGGATTCTGCATTTAAAACGCGGTCCTACTGGAGACAGCGGCATCCAAAGTCCGCTACAGTTAACCATTAGTTAACAAGCCGATGCGCGCGTTCATAAACTAACTGCGTCAAATCGTTGGTGTCTTTTTGCTGCGCGTCTTCTTCTTCCATCGCTTCCTGTTGCTCAGTCTCCAAACTGTAGAAGCGGCGACCCCTGCTAGACATATAGCACATTACAAATGGTTCTTCTTCTTTTCTATTATGGCGGAGCGCAAGCAACTTTAAGGTGCATACCGCCACCTACTGTACATGAGTGTGTAGCAACATTACATCAAATTCTATTTTTTGATTTTGTATTCAATTTTGTTATATTTCCTTTAGATAAATACACGATGCTTTCCTTAATCTGTGAATATAATTTATATTTCCTTCATTTCCAAATATTCCTTTAAGACTCCATTCTTGGAAGGTCCTTCCAATTATGTTTCTCAATTTCTCCCTTTCATGATATTATTTTAAAAGCATTAGCTTCTTATTATTATTTTTTTTCAATGCTTCTTGTGAATATATATCAGAATGTTATGAAGACTGTTCATTTGTTAACCCTTATATGGTGATACTTCTTTTGATCAAATAAATCCATTTGCATGTTGAGGCAGCATGGTGGTGTGGGGTGAATCATTTTTGGAGCTTATTTCACCAAATGATTACTTATTAATTTCCCTACTTTCACGTTAATTTTATATCGTAATAATATAATACATATAGAAAAAAATATGTTTAATATGTTAATATTAGCTGAACAGGATAAAAGTTGGAGGATATATCATCATTTTGTGTTACATGTTTTAGCTTTTACTGTATATATATATATATATATATATATATATATATATATATATATATATATATATATATATATATATATATATATATATATATATATATATATATATATATATATATATATATATATATATATATATATATATATTTACCTAATATAGTAAATCTTTGCAGGAAATGTTGAGGTTTCTAGATAACATCAAAGCAGCAGCAGTTTCTGGAGTCACCTTTATTATATGTTAAACATTACTGATATAGAAATAAATTTAAAAGTGCAAACAGTAATATGTTCTAAACGTCTTTCTATATTAGTTTTTTTTTTTTTTTTGTATTGATGGACCTCAAAGGAACTTAGTAGTTCTATTATTCAATTCACTGTCCTTTTCAAACTATGATTTTCTTTGGCCATACTCTAATCTTTTTACTACTCCCTTGGTTCGTTCTTGTAAATTTTTATTTCTAAATTGTATCCAAAGAATACACATATTTTTTATTTCTTATTTACAGGGACTTTTAAAATACTTCCTAATTAGTAGTAATCTTGTTTAACATTTACTTTCTTATCGAGGGTTCCTTACTTTTTGCGTCGTCAGAAATACATGTGCATGCAGAAGAGAAAATAAAATATTTCATTCTGTTTTATACGTGGGGAGGGAAAAGTCAGAAAGTACATTTCAGAATTACCGGAAAACCAGTGGAGATGCCTTCAAAATAAAACCATTTAGACGTTACAAGTAGCCTATAACAAGTTACCAACATTACTGTTGTAGAAAATGTCCAGAGCACAAATAGCCAGTATTAAACATAAATCACTCACTTTGCTCTGTTTATATTTCCATTATTTACAGTGTGTGTTTACAGACAATTAAACTAGGACTGTGTATATACACTATGCAACTTTAGAGGAAACAGTTTTTTAATGAGTTCATGTGATATTCATGTATAAGATTAGGATATTTGTCGTCGTGTACATATATATACATACATGTATATATACTAGTGTTGCACCAATACCGATACCAGTATCGGGTGGGGCCCCGATCCAGCGTTAAAATGGTGGTATCGTTATTGGCGAGTAACTACAAACAGGGCACCGATACCATTTTGAGAGCCAAAAGTTTATTCAACTATTGTTACCCATTCCAAGTAGGCAATAAAAAACTTTTTCCTGCGTCACAAAGGTAGGCAGCAACTTGACAAAGCCATGATGGCAAGTAGTATGCAGTTCTTCGTATATACGCACACACATCAAGTTCAAACAGATGGTATCTGTACGGTATCGGCATCGGCCAATACTGCACATCCAGGTATCAGTTATTGGTATTGGGGCAAAAAAAATTGCTTTGGCGCAACGCTAATATATCTTCCTCACCCATCGTGGGTGGTCTTCCCCCCCTTTTTCCTCCAAGCTCGGGTCCTCTACCAGTTCCTAGAACTGCACTCTTCTGGACCGAGATGTCTGATGTACTTCCAGTGACCTGCTGTAACCACTCCTCCAGTTTGGGGATTACTAACCCAAGTATCCCAATGACCACAGGCACCACTGAAGTCTTGACCTTCCAGGTTTTTCTCCAGCTCTTCTCTGAGCCCCGGGTATTTCTCTAGTTTCTCACTTTCCTTTTTCCTGATGTTGCAGTCACTTGGTATTGCTATGTAAACCACAACAGCTTTCCTATGCATATTGTCCACCACCACAATGTCCGGTTGGTTTGCCAATATTCGGTCCGCCTGTATCTGGAAGTCCGGCAGGATCTTGGCTCCTCGTTGTCTTTGGAGGTTTTTCCCACTTTGACCTTTGTGTTCCCAACCCATACTCCGCACAGATGTTCCTGTACACTATTCCAGCCACTAGGTTATGGCTCCATGTAAGCTTTCCCTACCAACACCTTATATATATATATATATATATATATATATATATATATATATATATATATATATATATATATATATATATATATATATATATATATATATATATATATATATGTATTTAGTCTTTTTAGTCTTTTTAGTCTTTTTTAGTCTTTTTGTTAGTCTTATTTTACAAGTTACATTTTACACAGGTCTAAATCCTGGTGGAAAATATGTAAGATTATAATTTGGTCAAGTTAAAGCTTTCTTACAGACTTTTGAATTTTTATAGATAATTGTATGTATGTAGACTATTTTTAAAAAACGTTGTAGTATGAGGCTTTTATTTTTGTTTTCAAACCATTCACCGGATTCGTTGTTCCCACTCTGAGCAGCTTGATAGTTGTGGTTAGAGTTGCAGTGAGCAGAGCCCAGCTCTCAGCAGCAGCTCCTCTATCTGTGCGCATCAGCCAGTCTCTGGCCGGATCCCTCCACCATGCATGGAGGGAAGAGGGGGCTGGTCGCTCCGCAGAATACCTTCCTGGAAAACATCGTCCGGCGCTCCAGCGGTGAGTTTTAAACTTTAAATCTCAAAGTTTAGTCAATTATTTGTTCTTTACTGCATTGCTTAATTTGTTATCAAGTGCGTAAGTGTGTGGGGATTTAGGATATAAAGGTTTCCATGGAAATAAAACATTTTTATGAGTTAAGCGGCAGATTTTCTTTTTCCGGATACTGACTTTTGTGCTCTGAATAATTATGTAATGCTGTAATGTTCAAACGAACCGGGAGAGAACAGTGAACTAAAACAAAACCATTTATTCTGCTTATATGAAAGCTTTGATCAACAGCATGAGCCGCAGAAATTAGACGCACAATCTACTGATTGCTTTATTAGCATTTCAGCATTTTTATTTAATTATTTTTTTTTTTTAATGTGTTACAGATATCATAATGCAGTTAGTGCAAGGACTGGTTATATTAATACTATATTTTTATTAGTTAATTAAAAAAAAACATAAAAGTATTGTCATTAAAAACAAAATATCCCTATTTTTGATATTCTCTTTTTATGTTTCTTTAACAACACCCGCAGACAATGTGAAAACGAACCTCACTAGACTTAAAAAGGCTCAGCTTGCAGCCTCTTTTTAAAAGAGCGCTTCTTTCTCTCCACTTAAGGGACTGTTAATGTGATTTATCCCATATAGCCTCTACTTGTTCACCTGAGTCCAGCAATGTCTTACAGTAATGCTTTTTTTAATGATGCTGCTGTTACAACTTCCTTTGGCAGACACAGTCTTCATGGGAAACTCGAGATTAATGCATTCGAATATTTTTTATTGTAAATGCAGACAATGCACAAAGCTGGACTATACAGAATAAAAGCCTTGCAGTATGCGTTTGCACCTCTTCGTTTTAGTTGCAAATAGAAATACAGACCTCATCAGGTAATTTGGAGGATCTTGTTATACAATTAGTTAAATCAGCACCTTACTGTGCAATATAACTCATAGACATCATCTAAGGTCTAATTTTCCCTCTGCTTTCTGCAGCCTGCCTCTGAACTACCAGGCTTGGAAACTTTTAGGCTTGCCATCAATATTTAATTTGCATTAAGGCTGGAACGTAAACCTTTTATCAGCAAATATTTCTGCTCACCGAAGCTTCAGATTACTATTTCTGTAAGCTTGAGTAGCCTTTTATCTCCATTAAACATGGCAGGTTAAGTAATTAGAAGTGTTGGGATGAGATGTGATTATGATTTACAACTCCATGCCCGTTTTATGGAGGGTTTATTTTATAGCTGGGGAGGACCTGTTAGGTTGAGATCAGTAGGAGTAATGTGGATGTTCACTTCTAATTTTTCTACTATTTTATAACAGAAACCAGTTTTCTGTTGGGGAATGCGCAGATCCTTGACTGGCCGGTTGTATACAGCAACGATGGATTCTGCAAGCTGTCCGGCTACCACAGAGCGGAGGTCATGCACAAGAGCAGCACATGCAAGTAAGAGGCCATCTGTGCTTTAATGAAGCTGAATGTCAAGCTGGAGTGGACAGTTTGACTTTATTTCTTTAAGTTTTTTGTCTTCACCATGATGTATAGCTCACATTTTCTGTTGATTCTTGCTTACAAAACTTTGCCAAAACTTAAATTGTAAAGCTGAGTCTTTTTCCTTGTAATGCCCTGTTTAATTTATAATGGAAAGTTAGAAAAATCCATTAGAAGCACTATGCTGGGATGTATTATTTTGAATCAAGAGGAAAGTTTAAAAAGTTTATAGTTCAATTAAATGCTTTTTTAAAAATGTTTTTTATGTTTTCATGTCAAATGCTTCCTTTTTCAACTCTAGAACAATTACATTTAAAATAAATAATGAAACATTTACCAGGATCCAGAGACAAAAGATGATTTGCAAATGTATGTGCTTTTAAATAATAATTTAAAGAATGTTGTTTCTTTCAGATGTTGCTCATATTTTGCATTTGAT